TGTTACATCAGCATACCTTGGTAAACTCCACAATGTCAGTGTGAAAATGGGAACAGGAAAATGGGGGAAGAAACACACATGCACATACACATACACACACACACATACATGCATGCATACATGCACACATGCATACACGCATGCACACATGCATACATGCATACATGCATGCTGGATTATATAGCTTGGGATCAAGAAATGGAAGCGACCAAAAGCTCAGAGGCTCGTAGAACTCTTTCAGCAGCCATCACAAATCCTTTTTGTTAGGCGAGTAGGAGGTGCTGGGCACTGATGATCTATCTCAAGACAAGAAACAGTTGGTCATTGGCATGGTAGTTGTTTCAGAACTGGCTCTATAGGGCCTAGCACTTTGGAGGAAGGATAAAGGTGGGACACCACATGTAGTTACTGGATCTCTAACCCAACCTGCTTAAACAAATAGTTGACTAAAAATGAGGACAGGGCAAAAGTAAAGGCATCAGCTCAGGCACCAGTTCATGGAGCAATTTAACTGTTATAAGATAACGATTATCTTATAACAATTAAATCCCTTTGCCAAATGGCTAAAGAAAGCAGCCAAGACCAGCATAAGTTTAGGGTATGAGCTCACTTGTAAAATAGTCATGGAGGAGAAGGATGGAAGATTGTGGACGCTTTTGCCCGCAGAAAACTGTAAAAAGCGGTTGAGGAGAAAATGAGCTTCTTGTGAAATCCAGTTAAGTCCGGCAATTCTGAGAGCATTTCTAGGTCAAAGTAGAAGGAGCATCACAGAGAGGTGTGATATGGAGCCGACTCGTAAGCATCTTTTATGATTGTTTTTACTGATGGTAGCCAAATCAATATGTACCATGTGAGAGCGTGGCACTGGAGCTTGAGATGAAGAAGTTAGAACAAAGTAGCTGGACGTGAGCACATCTTTAAAGACAACATATGTGCCGGGAAAACACAGTCTTCAGGACACTAAGCCACCGATTTCAAAGCAAATACTCACAATAGAATGGATTGTGGGCTGTGTCACTAACCACAAAGGGCAACCAAACCATCTGCTTGCTTGCTTCTGTCCATAAATCTTTCTGAAAGTGGTCTCTGCACATAGACATTGAGGGTATCCTTGATGAAAGCTCCTGAATGATAAAGGATTGGAAACAGATAGGACTTTGCAGATGATCTTGTAAAGAAGCTTCCATCTTGAAGGTTTCACTGTGTCTAATTTTTTCCCAATTTTTTATAAAGCGTTTGCCTCTGTAGAGCAAAATGTCACCATGAAGGTTCTTCTTGAGAAAGCACGGTGCCTACCATTAGCTAAAATTACAGGAGACAAAGAAGCAGCATGGCATGATGGTGAGAGTGCCATCTTGAAGCCAGCTGTGTGACGTATCCGCTTTGTTCTACGAAACTCTCAGAGTCCAACTTGCAGTGAAGGACTGACTTTAATTGATGGAGGTTTTCCCCTCTACACATGAAATCCCAGGTGCAGTCCTCGTACCAATTGCTAGTTCTATCCAATCTATCAATGAATCAACAAGCATTTATTAAGAATCTACCATATGCCAAGTACAAGACAGCTCTCACTTCAGTGATAATTTTGGTCAGCCATCTATCAACCACTGACATCGAAAAGGTATAAAAAAGGGGATAATATATTTATTTAAGTATTTTTTGTCATCATCATAGAAGAACTCTGTCACAGGTCCAAACAAAACAAAGATGCCCTATAGATGGCAAAGTTTGCCCAATATGTTATTCATAGATGACATTATACTAATTAAATCAAGAAGGATCCTACTGAGTTTCTTCAGTAAAACTCATAGTCCTCCATCCACAAGATGGCAGATCCAAGAATTTACACTGAACTTGTGTGTAGCCCAGATGATGACAAACAACTTGACAAAAGCCTTCCAAGTATGCACATCTGTGAGAAACACCTACCCCACTGCTCTGGTGAAGGGTCACAGATGGACAATGAGCCATGCCCAGGAAGGAGATGACCTTGAGGTTGGATGGCATTTGATCAAGTGTAGAATGTGAAAGTCCAGTCCTTCAACCCCAGGATTCTCCCAGTGATGCACCAGGGTCTGGGGAGGGCCCGAAGTGCTAGTAATCCGTAAGGTAGAGAAAGGCACGGAGTAGGTACGGAGAGGCCAGCAGTCATTTTATGCCTGAAGTGGCATAAAAGCCATCACTGGGGTTATGTGTGCCTGGAAAATGAGGGGGATTTTTCTCACAGTGAGAATGAGACACTACGGATGCGTAGCTTGGTATTGGGCTGGGACCCCTCAGACATGAAAAGAACCAGAAATACTTTGGGCATGTTGGGTGGATCCCTCATAGAATATTTTTGCATTTAGCATTTGAAGATGTGGAAGGACTGCAGTTTGCCCTGTGATAGAACCACCCATGTCATTGGCACCGCCATTCCTGGAACTAAGGCCTGAAACCTCCCTCTCACCCTTCACAGCCAACCAGTTTCCAAGCCCTCTCAATTCTACCACTGATATCTTGTGTCCTTCCCACTCTTTTGATGACCACTGCCACCACCCTGTTTCCTAGGCCCTTGTTCCCCTTCTCTGCCTTTTCCTTCTCCCGTTCTATGTGCTCCTTCCATGTGAATCTTGTTAAAACACAGTTCTGATCATGGCACTCCCAACAAAAACAAAAAGCCTTCCAGGGCTCCCCATTATCTACTGAATGAGTACAAACTCCTTCACCGAGTCTTGAACGCCTTGGGATCTTCCCGAAGCCTGCTTCTCCAGCTTCTCTTCCCTGTTCTTCACATGCTGCACCCAAACTGGACTGCTGTCTTCATTCCTGTGTTCTTCCTTCCAGCTGGGATGACCTCTGTTTAATTTTTACCTTTTGATTCCTGCCATCTTTACAGCCCAGTTCAACTGCTGCCTCCTCCATGAACCCCCTTCCCTGCATCTCCTCGGTCCTGTGAATACTAATAATAGCTAATATTTGCAGAGTGCCTTAAGGTTTACAGAGCACTTTACGTGTATCCTCTCATTTAGTCTTTGCAATAACCCTATGAAGTAAGCACTTCAGGTGGTTTTATCCCCATCTTATCAATGAAGAAACCTAGAGGCTTAGGTTAAATGACTTGCCCAGGGTCATACCCATTAGTCCCTGTCAGAGGTAGGATTCGAACTCAGGTCTCCCCAGACAACAGGTCTCTCTTCTACTCTTCTTATCTTTATTATGAAACCTGTACATTTCACCTTGTATTATTTCATTGCAGAGTTCTTTCCCTCCATGAAATCAGGGGCTACTTTCTCACTCGGGTATCCCTTAAAGCCTTTAACCTGTTGTCTTGCGTGTTGCGTAGGTGTTGAATCGATTAGTGGTGAGTGCTCAGAAACCGGCCACACATTATGCAGTCATGTTTTTATTTTCGGATGTATTTCTTATTCCTGTGGGCTGCCTCCACAGCGTCTAGCGTCTTCACCTACCGCCAGTTCCCTGGAAAAGCGTTTGCATTTCAGAATTCTTTTTTTTTTTTTTGGCAATTTGGGGTTTAGTGACTTGCCCAGGGTCACACAGCTATTAAGTGTCAAGTGTTTGGTCTGAGGTCGGATTTGAACTCAGGTCCTCCTGACTTCAGGGCCAGTGCTCTATCTACTGTGCCACCTAGCTGCCCCTGTGTTTCAGAATTCTGAGAATAGTTGATACTGTGTGTGTTTGTTCTCAGGCTTTCCACAGCTCTCCCTTTCACACTCACGGTAGATTTCTCCCCCAAAATGTAAATGGGCCCTTAAATAGGAGAAAAGTTAAAATGTAATGAACATAATGTTTCTTTGATGTAACAGTGTTATAGAATCAGGTGTTGTATTCATTCTTTCTTTAAAACGATGCCTATTTGATCCCATTATAGTCATTCAAACTTAATAACTAGAGAAAGGAATGTGAAGGGAGAGTGAGGAAGGTGAGCAGAGAGAGCGTATTAAGTCACGTGCTTATCTTAACCAGCTGGAGTCAAACATTCTAATTGTAGGGAGCTGGTGTTCTAGAGGTGGTATAAATATAATGAGGCTTAGGTAATTGACTCATTAAGTACTGATTTTTTTCTCCATGTAGAATATTCACTATGGCTTATTATCATCATTTGGGTTAATATGCACACCTATTTGCAAATCAGGGTTTCATAAAGGTTTGGACTACCGGCAACCTTTCCATTGCCTTAAGAACGTCTCTCACCCATGAGTCCCAGAGACCTTCCGAGATGATCCCTGGAGTGACGTGCTGCTCTCTATATTATGGTTGGCTTAGGTGGCCTCTTTTGATAGTGCTTTTAAAAAGCAGCCAGTAGCGGACTTCACATTTTTAATACAGTTTGATCTCTTGATTGGGGATGGTGGGTACAGAATGGATACCTGCCTGCCTTCTAGGCTGATCGTAGGGCTCTTTGTGGCCACATGTGGTTCGAGTGTCTATCACTGGAAGGGCAGTGAGTATAACACAAAGATGGTGAGATTGGGGTCTGGCCATTCTCTGATGCTGTGTGACCCTGGGCTAGTCATCCAAACTCCCTGAATCTCCAGTTTCTCTATCTTTAAAGTGGGGATGATAATAATACATGAACTACCTGTGTCAAAGCACTATGTAAATGAGCATTATTATTTGTGAAATGTCTTAATCAGCATATTATCAGGCCAAATTCACGTGCAGGATTCTTTCTGCCATAACAAAATATGTAAAAAGAGAGCAAGTTAAGTCGCTCAAAGACTCATCCTGGGGCCTTGTGTGTGGGAGGTGATGAATACATGTCTATTGTGGTTGAATCAAAGTCAATGTCTTGACATTCTTTTATGATAGAAGAAACAACCACATATAGATGGTAGAGCTCTTGTGTTGGGCTTTGTGTTACTGGAACGGATGGGAAGGCTCCAAAGTGGGGTTCTTTGATGAGTGTCTGAGCTTCTGGGGCTTCTGAGCTGGAGTGGGGCTGCGCTGCCTGTCACTGAGGAAGACTTCAATGTCCCCTTCCCTTTGTGTGTTTGCAGAAGATGAAGATGACAGTTCTTACAAGATGGAGGAGCCCAAGCAGATGAATGAAGAGGTCACTCACACTCCAGGTAATTCACTGGGCAGCTGGCTCCCTCCCAGGATGCTTTGATTTGGTATCTCTCTTCAGGTTCTGCTTCTCACTGCGAGAAGGAGAGAGATGCATGACCTCCTCCGGCCCGGTGTCTCAGAGCAGCAGCAGAGCTGCTCAGCCCCTTTTAGGGTATGGATTTGAAGGCCCCCCGTTGCCTCCTCCAGCCCGGTGTCTCAAGACAGCAGCGGGGCTGCTCAGCCCGTTGTAGGGTTTGGATTTGAAGGCCCCCCCCATTGCCTCCTCTGGCCTGGGTATCTCAAGGCAGCAGCAGGGCTGCTTAGCCCCACTTAGGATGCATGAAAACCGCTTGAGAAGGATTTATAAAGTAAGCCAATTTATACAAGGTATTCCTTCCTGAATTACTCTGTAATGACTCAATTAGCTTTCATTTCTGCACAAAGGAGATTTAGTTGCATAAATTAGCTTATCATCATTGAGGAAGTGTCACTGCTAAAGGACAGTTTATAGATACAACATGCAGTCGCTGTCAAACCTATAAGAATGTAATATAGACATCTGTGTATACTTTGTGCTTGAGCAGAACAGACTTCTGCCATTCAGAGGGGAGCGGGGGACAACAAGCTGCCCAGGGGACTGGCGATGTGGACGTCTCTGAAAAGGTCAACTTGACACGGGCTCTGGCAATCGACCCACAGCTCTGTCTTCTTTGATAAAAATCAGATAAACCTAAGACCGCTAATTGATCTGCAGCCGGTTTAAATGTTGGCCGTGCATATCTTCATTGCATATGATTAGCACAGGAGGCGAAGGAATCGGGTCGGAAATGCCACCGTCCGGTGACAGCAGCAGAAACACGGGCTGGGGTATCCATGGCCAGGGGCTGGGACGGACTGGCCTCCTTATCAGCTTCCGCTTGGCACAATGCCGTGGGGCCCTCAGTGCGAAACCAGCTGGCCTGGCTGGACGCAGAGAACAAACCCCGTTCGGGCCCAAGGAGGGGGCAGAGTCATTGAGCCGACTGTCACTTTACACAGGGAGGAAGGGGAGAGTGGCTTCTTATCAGGACTGTACACCTCTCCGCTGGCCACTGTCAGCTGTGGCCAGCTTGGCCCTATCCCAGTGTGGCCTGTAAAGATTCGTAGCCTGGGTCACCTTCCCCTCTGTCCTGTGTCTCATCCATCACTCCCCCGGTACTGTCACAGAAAGGACAAGGAGTGTGTGTTCAGGAAGTTGCTTTCCAGAGCTCTTCCTACTGTGACATATGGAAAGGAAATAGAGGCCTGGTTTCCGGACCGACACAGGAAGGCCAGAGCAGGTTGCTGCAAAAGGTTTGGGTTTGCTTTTCTCAGAAAGGAAGCAAGGACGAAGACATGAGATGTTAGCCCGCTAACCCTGGTAGCATTCAGCCCTTGCTGCCAACCCCCAGGTCTTAAAAGCTTTGGGGCCTGGGCTCCCTTGTCATGTCAGTGCTTGCATTCCTCCGGTAGTGGGTCAGAAAACCCTTGCCAAGAGCCCAGGAGTCTGGCAGTCAGCCCGGTTCCAGATGTGGAAGGTGTGTGCACACAAGAGAGACATTTGCCACAGTTACACATATTCTGGCTCAAGGAAACTTTATTTTTCAAAATCTTTGGAGTAACTTAGCACCTTGTGGCTTTTCAGAGTGCTCAGCCTCTCTCAGAGAAGCTCAGGAAATATAGCTAAGCGTTCATGAAGCAACCCCAGAGCAGGGCACAGATTCTTCTCCATAGTGACTTGAAATTCTTTTCAAGCAACAGCCTTAATGCTTTTACATAGCAGTGACCTTTGATCTCCTCCGGGCTGCCAGATAGGTAACCTGAGAAGTTTGTTTGCCATGCAGGGCAGCGAATTGACAAGGGTATTACCATCTTGCTGAGCATCACATGACGTGAACTTCTAACCTTACCCAAGAATGTTATGTGTTTTCCACACTGAATAATTTTGCTACCAAAAAAAAAAAATTGCAAGACTCCAAAGTTACTTAAACATGAGAAAAGCTGGGCTTTCCCCCACCACCAATGGTACTTGTCTGGTGCCTGCGTGCCCCCGTTTTTGTGGATGTTGGTGTTTCTCTTGGTGATGGGGTCTGACCGTTGCAGGCGATTGGCAGAGGCTGCTTCAGATTTCTGACCTCAGACTCGGAGGGGACCTGGGCACGACCAGGGGTCTGGAGCCTCCGCTGCCTCTGCCTTGGTCCTTCTGTAAACACGATGCTATCATCTTGTACAGCCTGTGGGCGTGTGCTTGGAAACATGAATTCTTTGAAGTTTGTTTCATTCCTGCCGAAGTTGAACGTGTCGATTGTCTGTAGTTCAGGCTGATTCAGAGTTTGAGCATTTAAACTCTCATGCCAATCATGGGACCTTCCTGCTGTCCTGGTCTTCTTAAAGGGAGAGAGGAGAAGGACAGCCCTCCCTCAGTGTTCACCTCCATTTATTTTGTTGCTGTTCGTTCTTACCAGTGTAAGACATGAGGAGGTGTTTCTTTCAATTTTGGAAATATGTCAGTATGTGGAAGTAATAATCCATGCCCAGGATGAAAAGCCCTGAGCAGATTTAATGTCTGTGTGAGTCGTCAGGCTGGGCTCCAGGATTCTTTCTGGTCCATCTATCTTGTATATTTTGAGCACAGTAAACAATACCAACTCCTCTCTGAAAGGGGCTTTGCTTAAGAAATATTGCTTCTGAGGATGTGTCTAGCCTTAATGTAACGTAGGTGTAGAGCAACATTTTTTTCTCTAATAATCAGAGATGCGTAGGGTCCCCAGGGATTAGAATGATTCCTAGGCTTAATTTTTCACGTTCACAGTTCGCATCTAGCACTCACTCACTGCCATCCCAGGAAGATGAAGGTGATGGTGGCTCCACTTTCCCGGGTGTCTTCTCCCTCGTTGTGTCCCCGTCTCCTCTTTATTTGAAGAACTTGGAGGTGTTGGTATTTTAGCGCGTGTTCTGTGCGTGTAACTCTCTCATGTTGGGAATATCTGTGTTTCCATAAAACTCACCTTGCCACCACACTGGCTTCCCAGAGGGGCTGAGAAGCTGGGGGTGGCCGGGAGGACGAGCTCCAGGGCGAGGGCAGGCCCAGTCTCCAGGCAGCTTTTCCAGCAGGGCTGGGCCTCAGCTCAGGGGGCGTGTAGAGAACGAGGCATCTTGCCCATGGTGGGGGTCTGTCTTCCCATCGATGTGCTTGTGTAACTCCCATTAGTCTTAATGGGAGCTTCACCAAGCGCATCCATGGGAAAAGAGACCCTAACGTGATAAGGATTATGTGTTAGAAATCACCGTGGACTTGCCTTTCCAAGCCACCCCTGGTTTTTTGCAAATCCATTCAGGGAAAGGGGAAGCAACTGTGAAAGGAAGAAAAGGCAGCCAGGACATCTGGGAAAGCCCTGGGGAATTCTGTGGCCTGGCCAGAAAAGAACCTTTGCCCTAGTTCTCAGCCAGAGTCTGTGGCTTCAGTGTTCTGGGCTAAAGCTTGGGCAGCATGGAGGGCAGAGGCCTGTGGAAACGCCATTCTTTGTCAACTAATTGAGGGGGCAGAGGGAGGAGAAATGCATGATGGGGCCCTCAGCTAATGGGGAGAGGAGAGGGAAAGGTGTCTAACAGGGCCCTCAGCTAGTTGGGGGAGGGGGGCCATAGGGAAGAGTGGGGAAGATGCATAATGGGGCCCTCAGTGAGTGGGGGGGCAGTGGGAGGAGGGGAGGATGCATAACGGGGCCCTCAGCTAATGGGGGAGTAGGAGACTGACACCAACCAGGTGCAGGGCCCCACCTGAGATCCCTTTAGCCACTGATCTAATGTTCCTGCAATGCTACAACTTTCACGTCACCATTTGTCTAAATCAAGGATGGAGAACCTGTGGCCTCCAGGCCACATGTGGCCCTCTAGTCCTCAAGTGCGGCCCTTTGACCCCCTTCATAAAAGGATTTGCTCCGTAAAACTTGGACTCAGTCAAAATGCCGCACCTGAGGACCTAGAGGCCACAGGTGGCCTCGAGGCCGAAGATTCCCTGCTGGTCTAAACAAATGTTTTTTAAAGAAATCAGCCACTTTGTTGTTAAGTGATTTTTTAAAAACCCACAGTGTTTTGGAGTGATGATGTGACCAGCCCGAGTGCCCTCTAGTGTCCTTCCAGAGAAGGTGCAGGTCAGGGCTGCTGAATAGAGACAATTAGGGTGAGGGGTCTTTTGGGGGCCTGCCTGGGCTCCCAGGCTTTGCCCCTTCCTGCTGCTGCAGCCGGTGACGAGCCCTCAGAAGGTTAATGCAGACATGTCAGGAGCATTTCACTTTTTTTTTCTTCTTGAGAAAGTAATAAAAAGAAACTTTTGGTGGGAGAGCGGTGGGGGATCCAGTGCCCGGGGGGGGGGGGGGCGTTGCTTTTCAGGAGGATGACAGGTCATAGAAGCTGTTCCCCCGAGCTCCTAACCTGAGGCGATCTGCACCATTCGGTTTGGACATTTTGGTTTTTGTTATTGAAGGTTGCACTGATTTCATATCATCTTAACCCTTTGTTCAAACATTCCAAACCTGATGTGATAGACTCCTGGCCTAATGACACGCTGATGCCCCTGGCTGTCCAGGGCAGTGCCACACCACTCAGGTGACAGTCCAGATCCAGCCTCTGTCCCTCCCTTCAGCCTCTCACGTTACAGGATGACATCCCTGTGAGGACGGCTGTCGGCATGTCCACGTTCTGTCCGGCTCCTGGACGTGTGGGCAGCTCCCTAGTAGGACTTTGTTCTCTTTGAGCTAACTTGTCAAAGCTCAGTGATCATGGAATTAAAAACTGGAAGACATTTTCAGCATAACAGAGGTCCCGTTGCCTTTAACTCTGCCCTGTGGGTTTCAAGAGATGTCCATGGCACCGTGGGCATCTGACAAAGCATTTATCACTCTGTTATTGTGGTATTACAGAGCAAAGAGTGAGAAATAATCAATCAGCTAATGGTCTGTATGGCAGTTTGAACACACCACATCCATTGTGCTTAGGCCGCTAGAAGGAAGAGTTTGGCACGCCGGTGTGTCCCGCGTGTTTATTCAGAGCTGAACCTCCTGAGCTGAAGCGGATGAAAATGCAGGCCGAAAGACGCGACTTCACCTTTGGCACTTCCAAAGTCGCCGTGCTATTTCAGCAAGTGCAGTGAGAAGCCGAATATCTGGGGAGGGAGCTGGGGCTTCTTCCTTAGTCCTCCTGTACCAGGCCATCGAGTGTGACTTGGATTTATTTTTTATCAGATGGTTATTTCATGTATTATCGTTAGTCCCTTCTCGTGGATATCGCTCATTCCATGGCACGGCATGTTTGTCTTCTGAGTCAGACACAGACAAACCCGGCTTGTTGCATAAAATGTCATGGAGGCGAGTGTTAGAGGCTGGTTTCTGTTTGGGCTTCACGTCTTAAATAGAGATGAAAAAAAAACAAGTAGAATTTAGATGCTGAAAAATAATGTCATGTGAGCAGAATTCTTTCATGTAAAATCTTTGAATTGGGTCAAGATTCTTGTCTTTTGAAAAAATGTTAGTGGTTTGCATTTGGAGCATTCATTGCTAATTGGTTAATAAAAAATGAGGTCTTGTTACATGAGAGATGTAACTCATGTTTCCTCTTCCTTCTTTCCAGCAGATAAAAGCACTGATTATGCTAATTTTTACCAAGGTCTATGGGACTGCACAGGGGCTGTTCCTGACGAGTTGTCATTTAAACGTGGCGACGTTATCTACATTCTCAGCAAGGTAGGCAACTAAAATTGATGACTGGAAAGTGGGGGGAGAGAAATCCAGCTTTAAATGTTTGGTTATACAATATGGGAAAAAGTATACCCACTGGCATTCTCCGAGGTCCTTGTTAACAATTAGAAGTTCACAATAATTAATTATTTTGTCAAGTGAAATATAATCAAATTTTAAACACAATCAGATAACAGGATCCAACTTAAAAGTATGTTTACCCATCAGTCTGGATCTTGGCGAACATCCATTAAGTGACTTATCCAGAAACAATGTACTTAGGTGAAAGTTCTCATTGTAAAGTATTCTGTTATTTCTTATGTTTTTATTTCCTCTTCCCTTTTTATTCTTCTATGTGTATTCTGATTTGGTATGCCATTCACTCCTGGAAGTACTGTTTATAGAACAAATTTTTCATCTTTGGGTAAACACAACGAATGTTCCAGCCATTTAAAGTTAATGTTGTTTTTTTTTTTTAATTCCAGCAGATCTGGAGATTTTTTAGTTGTATGACTTGTGTAGTTGCGGATACACACACGTAGACATACATGCATACATGTCCATACGTGGCAACATACATACAGTAATGGCTCTGTGCTCATACGTCATACCAAACTTTCTTTCTTCAGGCTTCTTAAGCTATGGGGCTATTAGAAGCATTCTGGTCTTAAACATACCATGTCTTGACTGTGTCTCGGCTTAAAGTCCCGAGTCTGGCACTGATTAACTCTCTAACCTTGGGTTGGATACATCCCCGTGTCCCAATTTCTCCATCTGTAATACAGAGATAATATCTTCCTCTCTCTACTTTATAGGGATGCTGTAGAAATAAATGTGATGATATATATGAAAACACTTCAAGCTCTTAGCAGAGAAAGTGTTCTATCAATCATAAAGCAAAGGTTTAGGGGCGGTTTTGTGCTCATAGAAGCTGTTTGAAAACCAGCAAGACTTTTGGGACACAGCCCATCTGACGCACCAGTTCAGTTTCATTCACAACCATTTACTAAGCATCTGAGGCTCTGGGGTGATACAGTCCAGGCCCTGTCCTCAGGGAGATTCCTGTCTAACCTCTGTCATCCTCCTGGCCTCTCCCAAAGGTGTATAAGCATTGCAGCTGTAGGATTCAGCCTAGAGTGAAGAATTTATATTTAACCAGGTCAGCAGCTCATTCACACGGCTCCTTTGGATGGAAGTTTAGCTGCCAAATTCAATTCCTTTCAAGGACATTTCTTAGGACTCTTGAAAAATGACCTCACGACATCTTAGCTTACAGAAGATCCTCGAGCTGGAAGGGTAACAACTGGGGCCCAGAGAGTTGAAGGGACCGACTCGAGGGCACCCATCTGGTAACTGGGAGAAGAGGAGGGAATGAGGGTTTATTAAGCACCTACTATGTGTCGGCATTGTGCTAAACATGACACCCATTTTTTCATTTGATCCTCACCTCTGCCTTGGGAGATGGAGGCAAGTGAAGTGGACAGAGAGATTCAGTGACTTGCCTAGGGTCACACAGCTAGAAAGTGTCTGAGACTGAATTTGAACTCCAGTCTTCCTGACTCCAGGCCCAGTGCTCTGTGCACTATGGCGCCACCTAGCGGCCACCTAGTTAGTAAGGGTTAGGCCAGAATTTGAACTCTATTTTCCATAACTACATAATCATACGATTTTAAGATTGAAAGCCAGAAAACCAGAAAGGCTCTGAGGTTCCCAAAACTAGAACGGGAATGTACTTCAGAGGTCATCTCATCCAACTTCCTCATTTTACAGATGAGAAAACTGAGGTCCAAGGAGATTCCCAAGGTCACACAGTTGTAAGCCTCCAAGGTGGGATTGGAACCCAGGTCCTCTGATTCCAGAACTGGAGCTTTCCCCCTGTACCACACTGCCTTGAGTCCAATCCTTTGACACTGCATGTGAGGAACTCAAGGTCAGAGAAAGAAATGGGCTTGGCCAAGGTCACCCAACTAGCTAGCAAGGGGCAGGCAGAAAGGCAGTGATCCACTCTGGCCCTCAGACTCTAGACCCAGTGCTTTCTGCACCACTGGGGAGAGAGAGAGACTGGGGCAGGACGTGAGGTTTCACGCACAGTGGAGGGGACTCCTGGCTAAAGAACCTCCCATGAGCGACGCGGGCTGGTGCCTCCTCTTATCTCAGCCTCATGGAGTGGCCTGGGCCATCGAGAAGGGAAAGGACAACCCCGGGGCGGCCCCACCAGCATGTCTCAAACCCCTTCCGCCTCCACGGCCTGCTCTCTCTCTGGCCACCACATAAATCACAGCTGCCAGTGAAAATCATTGCCAATTAAAAGCACATGGACATAAGGGACATTTTCCCCCTGTTTTTAAAATCGGACTGATTTCTTTTTCATTGCTTTTTTAAATGATACATGAGACTGTTGAAATCCTGTGAGCTTGTGCTGTGTGGGGAAAATCTTGCCCCGTACAAGGATCATGTAGATAAGAGCCTGGGCATTTCATTATCAGTCAGGTGTCCCACAGACGAGCTCTGGGTAGTGCCCTCGGCTAACAAGATCACTTGTAGGCTGGTAATGTCATTATACTCCTATCTCAGTTCCATAATTGAAATTAAGCTCTGAAGATTGCTTTGTATTAACACAGAACTGTCATTAAAGCGTAATTATGGAGGTGTGGCATTCCTGTCGTCTTCTGGAGGGGAGGCGGTTTCTGCCCTCCCCAGAGGAGTCGGAAAGGTCTAGTCCGAGGGATGAAGCCACTTCTGCAGCTGGGGCTGGCCGCTTCTTAGAGGGCAAGGTGGCAAATGGCAGAGGTACACTGGCCAGGCATCTCTTCCCTCTCAGCCTGCCTCAGTTCTGTGGCCCCCATCCTTCTGACTCCTTATGGGGGTCTTTGGGAACGTAGGCCCCCCCAAGACTTTGTAGAATCAAGAGGGCATGAAGCGAGCTGCCCCCCGATTAGTTTAAAAGATTATTTAGTCTTCACTTTGATGTGACAGAAGACTTCTGACAAATGGAATGATCCAAAGTGGGAAGAGGCAGCCTCAGGGGTGGGGCAGAGTCTCAGGGCCTCACTTCCCACCTGAGTCCTCCCCACTCCTGGCTGTGGGCAGCCTCAGCCAAGCCCCTCAGTCTCTCTCCTCATCTGTAAAATGAAGAAGGTTGGTGTAATGACCTCTGAGATACTCATGGCTCTGTGTCTGTGCTGCTGGTGTGTTTCCAGCAGAGGCTGAATGAAGTCTGGTTGTAGATGCTGCTGGAGAGCACATTCCTGGCTGGGTACCGTCAGACGGGAACACAGCAGAGGTGCCCCTCTCTGCCAGCTCAGAGCGTCCAGAATTCTCACAGGGAGCTGAAGAGGAGGGTGAGATAGGGGAAGGGAAGTGAGGCATTGAGCAGGGGGCCCCTGGACCAGCGTTGGCCAGGATGAAGGCACAGGATGCTAGGGTCTCAGGTGAGTCAGGGATGCAAGGAGACAAGAACAGGGCCGAGGGTGATAGCGCAGACGCACTCTGGCTGCTCGTCCCCCCTCCTCTCTGACACCCATCTCCTGACAGTGGCCCTGACGACATCTGCACTGTTGTCTTTGGAAAGGACCTGACAGTCTTCACCCCAAGATGGGTAAACACAGGCTGCTGAGATGGTACCACTAGTTTATTTAGCATATCAACATAACGATAGAAATTTGGGGAACTTGGTAAGGAAGTCGTGTAGCCTGAGGATTTTTATTACCTAAAAGGAAATGACCTCGTGTGACCTCAGGGTCCATCCCAGCTCTGCCCTTATCTGGGTGACGTTAGGCCAGAGGGTTGGACTAAGAATGACCTCTGAGGTCCCTTCCTGCTGGGACCTTTTGTGATGCCCCAATACTGTTCATACAAGAAAAAAAGCGCCCATTCAGAATTCAAATTTATTTAGCTTCAAGGTTCATCTGGTGGCCTATGGGGACACTTTTTAAAATACCACTAGCTGGTTATTTGCTGACCTCTGATTCTCACCTTTTTTAGACTTTGTGCTGGTGTGAAATTTCGCCTTTACCATTTTCACACCATCTAGTGGCACCAGGTGAGCAGTGCAGGTAATTGTCGTACTGGACGTATCCAAAATGGTGCCATAAAATCAAAGACAGTTTGGCTAAGCGATCGATATTGCTTTCCTTATTCTACATCAACCAAGAATTGGTGACAGCCCTAAAAAAGCTTAATGATGATACTGAGTTTAACATGTTTCCTTCAGCAAGAATGAATGCCTCACTAACGGTCTGACAAAGTGTTTGTATGGCCTCAAAAAACTCTCTGCAGAATTTCAATGCCGTGACCTTTTATGATCAAATTAATTCAGTTAAACAATGTTTTGAATAAAGTAGATTTTTGTTTATACAGTGGTGTATAATTCAAAATATTAAATGAACTCTGTCTGATTTTATGGACCCACTAGAATATCTTCTTGGTCTCTGACACTAGTCCTTTTCTTTTAAAGTAGCACATTAGTTTTAATAAAAATCACATTCCTTGAGGATAGAAGAATACTCAGCTGGTAGGATAGTCAGAAGGAATCATTCATTTCAGTTGAGAACATTCTGCATTTATGAATGTAAGTGGAGAAGGCCTTCCTTTGGCTTTGACATTAAAGATTGAGTTGAGTTTTGATCTTTGTTCTTTTTTAAATTGAGTGGCTTTTATTTCTTGCGAAAGACTCTTAGAAGGTGGTAACCACACAGCACGGTTGACTTGGGAGCTGGAGGTCCACATGGTTTGACATGCATGAGGCTCTATTGACTAATAGCCACATTTGATGCTGAAGTCAACATTGAGTGTTGTATTATTGTGAAACAGAACAGTCAGGAGAGCTGGCGCCCTCCGCCTCCTCTTTCTCACACTTCCTAATTAGCAGCTGTCAGGGGACTCCTGGCTCAACTCATTCCCTTCTTCAAAGTGTCTGTGGCATTTTCAGAATTTTAACCTTTGCACTTTACCAATAATCAATCCAAGGGCCGTTCGCCTTACAAGGAGAACCTATAACTTGGGCA